GGGACCCCGGCCCCCACCCCGCGCCGCGGGCCGGCGCGCGCCCTCGTGGGTCTCGGATCCCGGGTCCGCGCGTTGACCAGTGCCAGAGAGACAGGCGGGGACTGGAGCGCCCCTTGTCCTCCTCGCCTTCCCCGTTGGCCCCTCCTCGGCTCGCGGCGGGGCCCTACTGTGTGCCAGTCCCCTTTCCTGGGCTGCCGGGGCTGGCGCGGGGACCGGTGGAGCCCACAGGGCTGCTGGAAACGGCTGTCCAGACACAGAGAACTGCACGTGCAAAGGCGGGGAGAGTGGACCGACAGGAGGTTTGCGCCGGAGCCTGTCGGGGAGGGGCGGGAGGGGAACCCCCAAACTTGAATGCAGGATGGTTCAGAGGCCATCCCCAAGACGCCTGAAAGCCACTGAGGGCCCAAGCTGGGCAGTAGCCACCCCGGGGTGAAGAATGGGAGGGGGTGGGGGTCAGAGGTGGAGGAGTGGGGAGAGGCTTCTGCTAAAGGTCCAAGGAGACGCCTACCCAGCCTGCACCAGCTGGGGCCCTGGGGGATAGAGCAGGGGCACATCTGTGAGGTGGAGACAATTCAATACCTGCCTCACACGTTGCTGGAGGTCCCTGGCACAGGGCACAAGCTCCCGGTGGGTAGTTAGCGTTCGGCACTATTAGAACTTTTGAGTAGAGGGCAGCTTTTGGGCAAGGAAGGACAGCACTCTGCAAACACCTGGGGGGTCCTCCCACCATGCCCCTGACAAGGACCTGTGCCTTTGAGTGGAAGTGACCAGGCTCCAAGCTGACCTATCACACTGTAGGTAGAAGACACAGTCTCCGCTAAATCTTCTAGGCCCAAGGCGCTGGAGGGTGTAGACCCTTAGGCACCTGGGAGGGGAGGAAACAGCCTGGGCCGGACCCCAGTGGCAAGACCAGGTCTGATGTTTTCTGGGATCTGTGGCCCAGCAGGTGAGGCCTGAGGCTAGGCAGGAAGGAGGTGGGCAGGACTGAGCCAGAGGCAAAGTCAGGACCTAGGGAGGGCCCCCTGGTGCTCAGAGAGGGGGCAGATGGGGCAGGTGACCTGACTTGGTGATAAGTGGGGGAAAGAGCAAGGGTACACCCAAGTGGCTTGAGAGCCACTGCCTCCTCACCTGTAACTTGCTCATCTAGGGCCAGTAAGATCAGGAGCCAGGCAGTAGATGGTCCTTCGCCACCTTGTCCTCCTTTCTTCCTGGCTGCCTTGCTCTCAGGCACCCACCCTTATCCCTATTTGGGATCTGGGCCAGACCAAGGGGCCTCAGCTGCATCTCAAGTTAAACTTCAGGAAGAACTTCCAGGAGATGACAGTGGGCTGGACTGTGGGGAGGTCAGTTGTAAACAGGGCAGCTACATCTTTGTCCCGGCCTTCCAAAGTCCACCTGTAAGCTGCATCTTCAGGAAGGCTCACCTGTGGCCTTGAGGGCATCTTGGCTATAGTGATCTCTCTGCTGCTGAGGTGCCCCCTCCCCCAGCTGGGTGGCTTGCAGGGTGATATAGGGGCTTCCAGGGCCCCTGCCTATCTTAGAACTAAGGTGCATAGGAGTGGTGGGAGGCCACACAGATACCCCCACCTGCTGCTTAACCTTGAGGAGACCTTGGCCTCTCAGTTTCTCCCTTTGCTGTTGGGTGTGACATCAGCACTTGAGGGCTGGGGGGCATTTGTGAAGGGCTTATGGCTACTGGGCACGGGCTGTGGCAGGTTGTATGCCTGGCTCCCCTCTCCCCCAACCCCATCAGGCCTGGGCTGGCCGCCCACTTTTGTTCACCAAGGAGCTGGGTTTCCCTGGGGACCAGTGGACTGGCCCAGCATCCCCCCCGCCCCCAGTTCCTCCTGGCCACTGCTCACACTGGGAGGAGGGATGGAGGCTGGGCCGCCTCCTGGACCCCTGCCCTTCTCGCCTTGCCTTCCGAGGCCCAGCAACCTCGATCCACTGCTGGGCTGGGGACAAGGAGCAGTGGCTGCCCTTGGAGGAGGTGGGTATTCAGGGGCTGCCAGCCAGGTGGGAACCGGGGCCAGCAAGAACCCAGTGTCACCCTCATTGGAGGAAGGAGAAATCCGAGGACCAGGAGGGCTCTGGTCTGTCCAAAGTGACCCAGGGTTTGACCCCAGGCATGGTAGCCTCCTGGGAAAATGGAGGGTCCTAGAGCTCCCAGGCTGTGGGATTTGGAAAGGTAAAATCAAGGACTGGGGGCCTGAGGGGGCAGCAAAAATCAGGGAATTGTTTCCTATACATGCCTGTTGCCAAAAACAAACGAACGAACAAACAGATGAAATCAGGGATTTCCTAGATGAGGCAACTGTGGGGCTGGACCAAGGTTGGGGTAGAGGGACTCCTCTGGCAGTAGGCACAGTCCATGCAAAGGTAAGAACAGGGGGCCGGCCCAGTGGCGCACTCGGTAGGGTGCGGCGCTTGGGAGTGTGGCGGCGCTCCCGCTGAGGGTTCGGATCCCATATAGAGACCGGTCCGCTCACTGGTTGAGCGCGGTGCAGGTGCGACACCGAGGGTTGCGATCCTGTTGCCGGTCGTGGTATGGGCGCGACACCGAGGGTTTCAATCCCGTTACCGGTCACGAAAAAAGACAAAAAGGAAAAAAAAAAGCTCTGGTCCTGATGCCCCCAGTCTCTTCTGCAGGTCCTAGAGGCAGCTCCAGCTGGGATGGCGGCGCCAGCATCTCTAAGGGCTGCAGGGTGTCCAGCCCCATGGGGGTGAAAAAAAAAAAAAAAAAAAAAGCTCTGGTCCTGATGCCCCCAGTCTCTTCTGCAGGTCCTAGAGGCAGCTCCAGCTGGGATGGCGGCGCCAGCATTTCTAAGGGCTGCAGGGTGTCCAGCCCCATGGGGGGCACCCTAGGCCTCTGAAAGCACACCATCTGTGCTCCTGCCTGCCCACCCATCCTCAGGCCACTCGCCATGGGCGGCTGCTTCTCTAAGCCCAAGCCAGGTACCTCCTCTCTTCATGCCTCCACCCTTCCTCCTCCTTCCCCCCTCTACTCCCCCCCACCCCCCCGCAGGCAGGCAGGCCTCCGAAGTAGGTCAGGCTAGGCAGGAGCCCGCTCAGAATGTTAATATGCTGCAGGCAGGAGGGGTTGGGGGCCTGGAGCAGTTCTGCCTCTCTCCAGTGGGTACCCCTCTTTACCTGGGCTTTGGGTGCTGGTGGTGGGAATAGCAACTGGATCCTTCTTGGAAAGGGGAGGAGAGGGTTCCTTCTGTTGCAGGTGGGGTTGGAGAAGGGGCTATGTTCCCCAGGGCCCTAGGAAGGGGCTCTGGGGACATCCACAGCCACTGTATGACCTAGGACATGCAACTTACATCTCTGAGCCTCAGTTTCCCTCTTAACAAAATGGGCCTGATAGCCCTGACCTCTCAAAGTTGCTGTGCGGATGCAGTGGGTAGGTCCCTGCGCTCATTAGCTCTTCTGACCCCCTGTGTGACCTTAGGCTGCTGCCTTGGTCTCTCCAGGCATTCTTCCCCCTTTGTACAGGAAAGCTCCACTCTGCCCAGCCGAAGTGGCTTCAGCCAGGGTGGGGGTGTCCCAGGATGCTGGGGGAGGCTTGGGTTTGCTCTCAACTGGAGACCCATGTCTCTGACCCCCACTTTCTCTCCTCCCTCCTTACAACACCCAGGGAGGCAGGGTGTGTAGCCAGGAGAGAAACTGAGGCTGGGAGAGGCCTCTAGTGCCCAGCCAGTGCTCTGCCCATCCCCGCCCAGGCCACCCTGTCCTGGCCAGCTCGCCCCAGCTCCCCTTACCTGATACCCATCGGCTCCATTACCTTGAACTTGTGTGCCTGTTCTCCTTTTCCTGAGTCTGAGGGAGACCTTGGGGGAGGGAGGAGAGATGTGATGCCTCTCAGGCCGAGGGACCCACCTGTGCCTGCCCCAGGAATCTTATCTCCCTCCCCTGACTCCTGTGCTGTGGACGCCCAGGCCTGGACCACATACCACCACCTTCTCTGCCTCAAAGTATGACTTTCGACATCCATTGTCATAATCCCAGCCTTCCCCCATCTGAAGTGGACAGGAGGATGCCAGCTGGCCCCAAACTGGGCACCTGTGGGACTGCTGGGCTGGCAGGAGGGCCTGGGCAGAAGATGCAGGTTCTTTTAAAGTACCTCAAAGGGCTGGCCTGCCTGGGACCCCTGGCCCCAGGACTTCTGATATAGGGGCTAGCCACTCTTACCACCCAAGAAACAGTGCTAAGAATTTGGGCTCTTAAAACCTCTAGCCCTGCCTGTTCCTGGCTGTGTGGCCTTGGGCAGGTGATTTCACCTCTCTGAGCCTCCTTGTCCTTGTGTGTAAAATGAGGTTGTTGTACTCAGCATGGGGCCTGGCACACAGGAAGCACTTGCACACCATTATTATCCCCTCTTCTCTGAGCAGGCACTTGAGGACCATTATTATTCCCTCTTCTCTGAGCTGGCTCTGCCACCAGGACTCTTCTGTGGAGCTGCAGCTGGAGCCCAGGCCCCAGGTGCCCATGCTGGGCAGGTCAAGGGCAAGGCTCAGGGAATTTCAGCATGTGGGAGTGAGAGCATTTGGGGCATGAGGGTTCAGCTGGAATCAGGGGAGCCACAGGGATGCCAGAGCAAGCAGAAAATCTTTGTGCAAGTTCTTCACTTGCTATCCTGTGCCACTCAGTTCTGTAGCTCAGTGCGCAGTGGTACACGCTTCCTGAGCTCCCGTTGTGCTCCCTAGTGTTCTGTCCTAGTGGTTCCATATTCCTGACAGGAAGACGCTTGGCAAATCTCTTGCTGAGCTCAGAACTAGAAGGAAGTGCACTTCTCTTGGTATCTGGTCACTTGCCTTTTATTAGGCCACAATGGCTACCTAAAGGCTTTCCCTCTTTGCCATGGCTGCCAGGAGGCTCAGAGCTAACTGATAAAACACTACTACCCAACTCCATCTATTTAGCTTCTCCTCTGGATTACATATGTTATATTCTTCAGCATTCACTGTCACCAAAAAGGTAAGGGCTATCCTCTCTTTGTTTTATAACAAAGGCATCTTGGTCCAAGAGGACTAAGGTGGGGTCTTGTGGGCAGCTGGGAATCATGGAGCTAGGTTTGATCCTGTTCTGTGGGTGAGCAGAGACCCCTGCCCTCCCCATCTACCTTTCCACTGCTGCTCATGACTTAATAGCTTCCCTTGAGACTGCATCAGCGAGCATGCTGTATAGCCTTATGGAAGGAGGAAGAGGATAAAAACAGCCTGGCTTGGCTGTTATTCGGCCCCCCCACCAGCCTGTTCTTGTGAGCTCCCACAGCTCACATAGCAGCTATCGGCTGAGTCCAAAGCATTTTTCTTTTTAATCCTTCCAAAAACATTCTAACACCATTACATAAAGTATGGAAAATGGAGGAGAAAACACCACCCATGACCCTGCACCTGACTTGACAGTCTCAGTGACCATTATCTGCTCATGCTCTCTCCCTGCCAGGCTGGGGTCAAAAAACTAACCTTCGTCCCTGTCCCCTGCTGTGCCTGCGCCTGAGCTGGGAGCTGGAACATGAGGATGAGAGGGGGCTGTTTTTCCAGGCCCCAGGGCATGGCCAGGGTGGCGGATCAGCACAGCATGAGATGCGGGACATGGTGGGGCTGGGCAGCCAGGGGAGGCAACACTTGGGCTGTGTCTTGGTGGATGGGGAGGAGTTGGCCAAGGCCTGGCAGGAAGGCAGCTGGGCCCAGGGAACGGCACAAAGGCAAAGGCCACGAGATGTGATTCAGCAGCCGCACAATCTTCTTTGTTTCTGCAGTGTTGGGTCTGGGCTGGAGCGGGAGGCCGGAGTCTCCCGTGCTTTGGGAGTTGAGAGGCACCTCATGCCCCCGCATCGGGCGCAGCTGTGCCAGGGCCTTAGCTTCCATTGCTCAGTGCCCCCCTGCAGCAGCAGCCCAGGAGGCCGGATTATCGCTGCTGAGAATTCTGTTTATTGTTCCCTTCTAATTAGAAAAATACCCCAGGCACGTCATAGGGAATTTGGAAAATGTGGAAAAGTATAAAGAAGAAAATGACAACCTCTGGCTAACTCCCTAGAGTAGGCCCCCTGGGCACGCAGAGGAAGGGTCCTCTGTAGGGAGGCTCTGGAGGGCCTTTGCCACTCTCTGCTGTCCACATGCACACCCCCAGGTGGGGTTCGTGCCCAGGGTCCCAGACCCCTGCACATGAAGACCCAGCACTTGATAAATGATGAATGATTCTTAAATTGGTGAGAATAGCTGTTTTAAGAAGTGGAAATTATGTCGTGTACATTTTTTTTTTAATTTCCAAAAAACTTCAAACCTATGGGAAAGTTGTAAGAACAGAATAATAAATCTTCAATTTCCTGTCACCCACATTCACCAGCCGTGAACTGAGCTGCACCCAGTTTTGGACCCAATGTTCACATGAATGATACCTCAAATGTGACCCTGAGCTGTCAGGGATATATGGTCATTGCCCACCAGAAGATGAAAGACTTAGGGCATCCAGGTTCTTTCTTCACATAGATTAGATTCCTGATGGAAGGCAAATTTCAGGTCAAAGGAGCTCTGCTCTGTGCCCCCTCACAATTTTGTAATTGAAAAGGAAACCACAGGACCGGCCCGTGGCTCACTCGGGAGAGTGCGGTGCTGGTAACAGCAAGGCCACAGGTTCGGATCCTATATAGGGATGGCCGGTTTGCTCACTGGCTGAGCGTGGTGCTGACAACACCAAGTCAAGGGTTAAGATCCCCTTACTGGTCATCTTTAAAAAACAAAAAAGAAAAGAAAAGGAAAACACGCAGAAATGAATTCAGGCAGACCCAGAGCGCCGCCCTACTGCCCCTCCTCTACCTCTTAGCTGATGGGCACAGGGCTTTCTGGGGGGTCAAGGGGCAAGACTGAGCCTCCCAGCACTCAGGGGAGCTGGCCCCTTCCCCCAGCTTGAGGGATGGCAGAGCAAGTGGGCTGAGCTGGGGGTGCTCATGGAGCTGCCCCATCCACAGTGGAACTCAAGATCGAGGTGGTGCTGCCCGAGAAGGAGCGGGGCAAGGAGGAGCTCTCAGCCAGTGGGAAGGGCAGCCCTCGGGCTTACCAAGGCAATGGCACGGCCCGCCACTTCCACGCCGAGGAGCGCCTGCCCACCTACCCCGGCCCTCAGGACTGTGTGGAGGCTGCCGTCTGCCATGTGAAGGACCTCGAGAATGGCCAGTGGGTACTGGGCCTGGAAGCGGGGATCAGAGGGCCCAAGGTGGGAGGGCAAGGTACAAACTACAGATGGGGGAGCAGGGGTCGGGAGGCCTGAAAGGGGCTATGACCAGCTCCTGCCCTGGTCACTGTCTGTGGCTTCTGCTGGTCTGGGCCTGCTCCCCAGAAGCTGGACTTGTAGGAGGTTCCTGCAGGAGTTTGTGTCTGGCATCTGGCCTGGCCTCTGAGAGCAGCCCTTCCCCAGGATGCGGGAAGTGGAGCTGGGCTGGGGGAAGGTGTTGCTGGTGAAGGACAATGGGGAATTCCACGCCCTGGGCCACAAGTGCCCACACTACGGTGCACCCCTGGTGAAAGGTGAGATGGCCGGGGTGCATGTGGGAGGGGGGATCCCCCGAAAGGGGCTTGGCAGGTGCAGGATCCATACCCCTTCCCCACCAGGCCCCAGGCCAGCTTGGCTCCTCCCTGGACCCCAGGGTCCTCCTCTATTAGTGTTGTCTCCTGTGCTGTGAGGAGGGGCCAGCAGGTGCTGGGACACAAGGATCCTTGGAGAGGAGCCCTTGCCAGTGGCCCCAGCCTAGCACCTTCCCCTCCAAGGCGTGCTGTCCCGTGGCCGTGTGCGCTGCCCCTGGCATGGTGCCTGCTTCAACATCAGCACCGGAGACCTGGAGGACTTCCCAGGCCTGGACAGTCTGCACAAGTTCCAGGTGGGACTGGGAGTGTGGTGGGGTGGGAGTCTGGGGGTGCAGGGTGAGGGGCTGGTCCTGAGCAGTGCAGCCCTTGCAGGTGAAGATTGAGAAGGAGAAGGTGTATGTCCGGGCCAGCAAGCAGGTGAGGAGGCACCTTGGGGCTCAGGCAGAAGGCAGAGGCAAGGAAGGCAGCTTGGCCCAGAGAACAGAATGTGCAAAGGCCCTGCGGTGGGAGGGAGCCTGGCGTGTGTGGCTGGGGAACAGAGGGAGGGGCTGCGTGGTGGGGATGAGGCTGGGCTGGAGCAACAGGACCTGGCTTGCTGGGATAGTGGCACAGGGAGGATGGTGATGACCCCAGCTCCCAGCTGCCGCCCATCCTACTGCCATCCCCAGGCCCTGCAGCTGCAGCGAAGGACCAAGGTGATGGCCAAGTGTATTTCTCCAAGTGCTGGGCACAGCAGCAGCACCAACGTGCTCATTGTGGGTGCAGGTTGGTGGTGGGGTCATGAAGGCAGGGTGGCGGGTGGGCAGAGAAGAGGTCTCCGGCCCATGGTGCTAAGGACCTCTCCTCAGGTGCTGCTGGCCTGGTGTGTGCAGAGACACTGCGGCAGGAGGGCTTCTCAGACCGGATCGTCCTATGCACGCTGGACCGGCACCTCCCCTATGACCGGCCCAAGCTTAGCAAGGTGAGGGGTGGGGAGAGTGGGGACCAGACAGGGGGTAGCCAGAGTAGGGCAAGGCCTGGACCCCTATCCCTTTGGGTCCCAGTCAGGCCCACTTGGAGCTTTGCTTGTCACCCTTGGGGGTTTGGCCAGCTACCCTCTGCACTCATGCCAGGCCCATCTGTGGTACCCCCCAAAAGATCTGGGTTTATTGAGTTCTATCCTGCAGTCCCCATGTGACCTGGGGCTGATCTTACTCTCCCTGAGCCCCGTGTCCTCTGCTGTAAAATGGGACAGTGGCCGCTGGGCCTTGTCTCAATCTGGCTGTCTCCTAGTCCCTGGATGCACAGCCCGAGCAGCTGGCCCTGAGGCCCAAGGAGTTCTTCCGAGCCTATGGCATCGAGGTGCTCACTGAGGCCCAGGTGTGTGGTCAAGGGTGGGAACCAGGCCCAGAGAAGTGCTGGTGAGAACCATGAAGGTCGTGAGGCCATGTGGGCCCTGAGGATGTGGAGGGCTGCTCTGTCCTCCTGGCCCTACTAATCAGGCACCTGGGGGGGGTGCTTCAGTTCTGGGACAGGGCCTTCTTCCAGCAGGGTCATGGGCATGTGCAGAGCCCCAGGGTGTAGGGAGATGGATGATCTGATCGGGGCTGGGATAGGAGAGATTGGTGGGACTTTGGAGTGGAAGGAGGACTTTGAGGGGAAGGCAATGTCTGAAGCTTAAAGAATGAAACCCAGGTGATGGGAACAGGCCCTGTAGGAGCTGCTCAGAGGGTCTGGCTGGGCTCTGGGCATATTGGAGGACCCAGGAGAGTGCGCCAAGGCCCAGGCCCATGCCCATGCCCATGCTCTGCCCTGCGGGGTTGCAGGTGGTCACAGTGGACGTGAAAAACAAGAAGGTCGTGTTCAAGGATGGCTTCAAGCTGGAATACAGCAAGCTGCTGCTGGCACCAGGGAGCAGGTGGGAGTGTGTCTCTCCTGCCCTCGGCTGGACACTGGGCAGGGCACTGGCCAGGATGGGTGGGCTTCGGCTGCTGGGAGGCTCTCACCGACGCTGCCCTTTCCAGCCCTAAGTCCCTGAGCTGCAAAGGCAAAGAGGTGGAGAATGTATTCACCATCCGGACGCCTGAGGACGCTAACCGCGTAGTGAGGCTGGCCCGGGGCCGCAATGCGGTCGTCGTAGGTGCCGGCTTCCTGGGTGAGCGGCTGCAGGTGGTGGGGCGGTGGTCAGGCCGTCATGGCCAGTCCCAGGGTGGTGGTGGCCTTGGGAGATGCAGGGTGCCAGCCTGCCATCCCCTGCCCACCACCCCAGGGATGGAGGTGGCTGCCTATCTGACCGAGAAGGCCCACTCGGTGTCTGTGGTGGAGCTGGAGGAGACGCCCTTCAGGAGGTTCCTGGGGGACCGTGTCGGTCGTGCCCTCATGAAGGTGAGCGCCCCCAGGATCTGGCCCCCTCAAACACTGGGTGCCCAGTGCAGCCTCTGGCTGGGCTCTTGCCCACAGCCCACCTGCTCACCTGCCCTGACAGATGTTTGAGAACAACCGAGTGAAGTTCTACATGCAGACAGAGGTGTCAGAGCTGCGGGCCCAGGAGGGAAAGGTGGGCTCTTCTCCCCTCTCCCCCATGCCTGGGAGCTGGGCCCCCTGCTCACCCACCCACTCCCCACAGCTGAAGGAGGTTGTGCTGAAGAGCAGCAAGGTCGTGCGGGCTGACGTCTGCGTGGTGGGCATTGGTGAGTGGGCGGGCAGGCGGGAGCTCACAGGTGAACTTGGGCTAATCCCTTCCCTGTCCCAAGCCTGTTTCCACATCTGTAAAATGGAGACTCCAACTGTGCCCACTTCCCAGGGCTGTTGGGTAACATGTGTACTGGGCTTAGTCAAGGTCTGGCATGGAGGACGCTCCCGGAGACTGCTGTCCACTAATACTCAACTCCATGCCCTGCTCTGTGTGAGCTGCAGGACACAGACAAGCCTCTAGCTAGTCCCACCTCCAGTGAGGTGCCATCTTGGCGGGCAAAGCTAGGAGGCAGCAGCACAGGGGTTGGGGAGGCATGGCATACCGACCGACCCCCATCTGGGGGCTTCATGGAGTGCTTCTTGGAGGAGGCAATACTTCAGGCCTGATGGGAGGCACAGGGGTCTGTGGGGGTCCAGGCAGAGGTACACGATACATGAAGGCCCCAGTGTGGCCAGCCTGTGGATGATCGGTCTGGGACTGGTACATGAGTGAAGGGTGTGGAGTGTGCAGAGCGATAAGGTGAGAGAAGGGTAGGACCAGGGAGTGGACGTGGTGGCCTCTGTTCTGTCAGGTGCGGTGCCTGCCACGGGCTTCCTGAAGCAGAGTGGCATCAGTCTGGATTCCCGAGGCTTCATCCCTGTCAATAAGGTGGGGCCGGGTAGGGTGGGCCAGGTTCTGGACTGGGGGTGGCCTGAGGTCCAGGTCAGGGCCCCTGTCCTACCCACAGAGCCCTGGGACTTCTCCCCACAGATGATGCAGACCAACATCCCAGGTGTGTTTGCGGCTGGCGATGCCGTCACCTTCCCCCTTGCCTGGAGGAACAACCGGAAAGTGAACATCCCACACTGGCAAATAGCTCACGTCCAGGGTATGGCTGGCCCCAAGGCAAGTTGGGGGATGGGAGGTTACCCCAGGGTCTTAGCCTCTCCCAGGCCCATGACTCAGTTGCTGGTCTTGGGTCGTGGATGCTGTATTAGGCATTCAAGGCCCCATGATGGCCTGTCTGGCCAGCCTTATCCAGGTGATCAAGCCAGCACACAGTGCAAGCCCTGCAGCCCATCTCCAGAGACCTTCCTCCAGTGCCCTCTGGACCCTCCATTTAGCCAGCTACACCCCCAACCCCAGCTGTCCTTCCACTAGTCTCTCCTTTCCTTTTGTCCTCAAAGACACATGTTCTGCAGAATTCCTGACCAGACCTGGGAAGGGAGAGAGGGATTTAGTAGGTCAGCTTCCCACTGCGTGCCTCCGTCTCTCTCAGGCTACTCCATTGTCTCTGTGAACTCAGCTGTCTCGTGCAGGCCCCTGGAGGCAACCATCTAGTCCTGGGCTCAGTGGAGACATTGTGCTTTCTGAGGAATATCTTTCCTCTTCTCACATTTGGTTGCCACCAAGTACCCCAAGCCTCACCCACTGTGCACACCTGGTCTGGGCCCCTAAGTTGCAGGTGCCAGCAACAGACTCCCAGCCTGGGACAAGGGACTTACCCCCTGCATCCACTTCCCTTCCCTCTGTCTTCACATTATCTGAGGGTCTGGTGCCTGAAACTCCACTCCTGGTACCAATTTCTGTTCATGTCCAAGGTATAATTTGCTGCTAGGTAGCAAAGAACCAAAGGCTACTCATCAGCCAAGTATAATTAGGATTTAGGTGGGAGGGTCCAGGAGACTCTGCTGTACATCCAACTATGGGGGTCTAGTGGGGCCTCATAGGAAGTGAGAAGCCACTTGCACTATTTTCTCTGGGGTCCTGTGTGCGGCTGTCACCTCTGCTTCCCTGTACACTTGTGCCCCATTCTGCTCCCTCTTTAGACCTGATGTATCTGATGAGTTGTGTGCACACCCGAAATAGCTGGGCAGCCCCCCGAACCCCAAGAAGCAGACCTTCCAGATGCAGGGCATTTCATTCGAATTCTCTAGAGGAGCAATCTAAACGGGTAGCTTTGAGCCAGGTGTCTCCCCCTGCACCAATCAGCTGCACCCGCAGGTGAGCCGTGGGCTGAGAAATGATGTGCCTCTTGACCTCTACGGAGGTCAGGAGGAGTTGCCACACGTGTTAGGGGTCCGCAGAGCGCTAGGGGCAGTCAGTGAGGGTGGCGAGGGCGAGGGTAGGGGCTCTAACGGCCTTGGGTCCTGCAGGGCGCGTGGCGGCGCAGAACATGCTGGCGCAGGAGGCGGAGATCAGCACGGTACCCTACCTCTGGACGGCCATGTTCGGCAAAAGTCTGCGCTACGCGGGTCAGCCACGACCTCAGATGGGGCGGAGCTTGGGCTAGGGCGGGGCCATGAGGGTCGCAGGGGCGGGGCCATAGCTGCTCTAGAAGGCCGCCGCTGAGAACTCGCTGGGGGCGGGACTAGGGCCTATCTGAAAAGAGAGAGAGGGCGCAGGGCGCAGGGCTGGGGGGGGGGGGGGGGGTTTAGGGCGG